GGGAGAAAATGGAAGGTTATTATACTTCAGAGAAACATAAAGTCCAGTGATAAGTTTAAGTTGTATAAATTTAGTGTCCTCTCAGGAGAAGGTGATGTTTACTTTGTACTTTTAGAAACTTGCATGGTTGAGTGGGTGACTAAATAAACAAATAAATGCTTAACACAAATTTAGAGGATGTGCACTTGTAGATATTTGTGTAGTTCTGAATAGTCCATTTAAAGATAGACAGTAGGTTTTCTTCCAGGGTTTTTAGAGTTTCAGGTTTTACATTTAAACCATCTTCAGTTGCTATTTGTATTTGGTGAGAGATGGGTCCAGTTTTGTTTTTCTGCATATAGCTCATCCAGTTTTCCCAGCATCATCTATTGAATAAGGTGTCCTTTCCCCAGTGTCTATTTTTGTTATAAATTGGTTCTAGGTATGTGGCTTTATTTCTGGGTTTTCTATTCTGTTCTACTGATCTATATATCTATTTTTATACTATTAATAGTATCATGCTGTTTTGGTTACTATAGCCTTATAGTATAATTTGAAGCCAGTTCATATGATACCTCCAGCTTTGTTCATTTTGATTAAGATTCATGTGACTATTTGGGCTTTTTTGTTGTTGTTCAATATGAATTTTTGGATTTTTTTTTCTAATTCCATGATGGAATACTTCTCAGCAATAAAAGAAATCATGATATCGTGTCTTTTGCAGCAACCTGGATAGAACTTGAGGCCATTATCTTAGGTGAAGTAACTCAGAAACAGAAAGAAAATGCCACATGTTCTCATTTATAAGTGGAAGGTACATTTTGTATACACATGGACATAGAAAGTGGAACCATAGACATTGGTGACTCAGAAAGGCAGAAGAGTTGGAGGAGGCGAGAGATGAGAAATTATCTAATGGGTACAGAGTACACTCTTCGAGTGAGGATTACACCAAAAGGCCAGACTTCACCACTGTGCAACATACTCATGTAACAAAACTACCCTTGTATTCCCTAAATCTATAAAAGTAAAAATAAATAAAATAAATACAGGTACTGATAATCTGAAATGTGCTCACAATAAAGAGAGCAGGGTGATGAGAGGCAAAAGCCTACTGTTGTATGTGAAGGGTTTGGTGATGTTTATCCCAGAGAAGCAAAGCCTTGGAAAATAGACAAAGCCACAGTATTCAAATATTTGAATTGGCATAATGTGAACACAACAGTTAAGATATTGTTAAATGACACAGTAATGTTATCTAACACAAACTGAAAATTCAAATTTACCTAAGTGTCCCAATAGCTTTCTTTATAAATAACTTTTTTTTCTTTTTATTTCTTCTTAGGAGTGAAAGGTAAATAATCTAGCATCTATACAAGGGAACCAATGTTTATCTATCTATATGTATTTCCATATATGTGCATGTGTGTGTGTGTGTGTGTGTGTGTGTGTATGTATATATACTCCCCCAAAAGTGTGCCTTTGCTGTTAAGAAATCTTACAAGATCTCAAACTGTCTTAATAGAGTGACAGTAATCAAATCAATCATCCTTCTTGTTGTTGTTCTGAGTAGATCGCACCTAGAGAAATGATGGCAGTTATAGATAATATAAATAGAAAACGGTAGTTACTGATAATCTGAAGTGCATTCAGAATAAAATAACCAGGGTGATGGGGGGTGAAAAATCCAAACGTTTCACATGATGAAGTCTGAAGATCTTTAAGCTGGAGAAGCATAGGCTAGGGAAGTGCACATAGCTGTGGTCTTTAAATACTTGAATGGGTGCCTTTATGAGTTGAATTGTGTTTCTTCAAAAAGATATGATTAAGTCCTAAAGTTAATTACCTCAGAATGTGACCTGATTTGGAAATGGGGTCATTGCAGATATAATTTGATATGGTAAAGTCATATTGTAGTAGGGTGGGCCTTTAATCCAATATGACTGGGATTCTTATAAGATGATGATCATGTGAAGATAGAAACACAGTAGAATGTCATGCACTGACGAAGGCAGAAATTGGAGTTATACTGCTGCAGGCCAAAGAGCACTAAAGATTGCCTGCAAACCACAAGAAAACAGGGAGAGACAAAGAAAAATCTTACTACAGCTTTCAGAGACAGGACAGCCCTGCTGACACCTTGATTTCCAACTTCTAGCTCCAGAACCGTGAGACAATAAGTTTGTATTGTTTTAAGACACCTGTTTTAAAACAATACAGACTTCTTGTCTCACAGGACATTGTTTGTGGTACTTTGTTACAGCAGCCCTAGAAAATGAATACCAGCACAATGTAAATAAATAGGTAAAGTGTATTCATTCAGTTTCAATAAATAATTAGGACCTAGTAAGTAGAAATGAAGGGAAAACAGAACATGAACAAGAACTTGCTAGTAGTTAAAGCCACCACAAAATGAACTCAAGGGCTCCAGCAAGTTTTAAATCTCCCAGTATTATAAATGTTCAAGCAGGATGAAAGAAAGATGGTACAGAGGTGATTATCCATGCATCAGATGGGAGGTTAGACTGAATAATCTCTAAGTGAAAAATCATATGATCCTATGTTAAATCCCTGTCAAATGGAGGTTGGTAGCTTCCTTTTCATTTCTGCTTCAATTAAGAGGATACATGGATGACAAAGCATGATGGGTAAGACTTAAATTCAAGATCTAGTACTTAGTTTTACTTTTACTTACTCTAGTACTTACTTTTTTCTTTGGTAGGCCTCTTAACCTCTGTCTCTCATTTTCCCACCTGTTAAACATAGATATTAATGCTATTCACTTTTTAGTGTTATTATGATGACATTAGTTGATAATTTAAAACTCTTAGAACAAGGCACAGCACATAGTAATGACTAAAGTGATTTTGAACGTATACTTGATCTAATGTTTCCTGGATACAATGGATTAAGTCTTCCCGCCAGTACCATTCCTCATGTCCAAAATACAGAGTTGAAAGTTTAGAAATAATTGCATTTTTTTCTAAAAGTCCTGTACATTTTTCTAGATGTGAGATTGTACTATTTGGACAATTTGTTGACCAAGTACCAGAAATACAACATTTTTGCCAATTTTCTCCTAACAAACTGTAATAGTGTGTTTGTCAACTACTAGGATGGGTTTGTGCATGTGTGAGTGTGTGTGTGTGTGTGTGTGTGTGTGTGTGTGTGTGTGTGTCTGTTTCAAGTGTTTATAGAAAATGAATCACTCAATGGCATCATTTTCAAATAATAAAGACTGCAGTTACCTTGATTAATGTTCACCTGAGTTTTTGGATGTCACCATGCAAGAATTAGAGGATGATGTAAAGTTTTCAAAATTAAATCCTCCAAAATCATGGTATTTTGTTAAATTGACGTCTGTTAGTAGCTGACAACCAATTTCAGCTTCAGGAACTAGTAAGAACATCTTCCAGCTTATGAAACTATTAAAAAATGTTACATAATTATCAAAAGAAATACTCATTCATTGATTTAAATTTAACAAAATGAAGTTTTGTTTATTCGCTATATAAAGATACTAATACCTGCATTATTTGGGTACATGAGTGACAGCTCTGATAGGTTTGTGATGCCCCACACAAATTCAGTAACTTTCAGTGAAGCAAAACCATGAATAGATGTGAGGTCAGTGTGTACACCTACATCATTCCAGAGCCAGTGATTATGTAACTTTTATATACATCAGACCGAGGACAAAGAATGGACAAACTGGATGTTCTCTCAGCAAAGAGCAACTCAATGAGACAGCACAAGTTTTGAACTGTGGATATACTACAAGGCTATGAGGGAGGCTGGCTATGAAAGTATTGCAAAGTCTGTTTGATTGCAGGGTGTTGTTTAGAGGTCCTAAGGGTGATAAAATTTTTTGTCTTCTAAGGGAGACAAAAAAAAATTATTTTTTTGTTTCCTAAGGGAGACAAAATTGAGTGTCTGGAGCTTATATGTGCTTTTTTTTACAGCACTCTCATTTTCACCAAAGAAGGCAACCCATGTGGTGAAAAGACCACAAGTGTTGGAGCTAAAGCCAAGTTATAGCTGTAGTTTTATATTTTGTGAACTTATATGTCTTCAGACAAGTTTCCTGTGTCTCAGCTTCCTTTTTATTTTTTTGAAAGGGAGTCTCACTCTGTCTTCTGTCACCAGGCTGGAGTGCAGTGGCACAATCTCAGCTCACTGCAACCTCCTCCTCCCTGGTTCAAGATATTCTTCTGCCTCAACCTCCCGAGTAGCTGGGACTACAGGCACACACCACCGTGCTCAGCTAATTTTTGCATTTTTTTTTTTTTAGTAGAGAAGGGGTTTCACCATGTTGGCCAGGATGGTCTCGATCTCTTGACCTCGTGATCCACCTGCCTTGGCCTCCCAAAGTCCTGGGATTACAGGTGTGAACCACCATGCCCGACTTCAGCTTCCTCTTTTATAAAATGTGGGTAATATCATTGTCCCTTAAGATTGTTGTCAGCATTAAACAATGTAGGTATATGAACCATCTAGCTCAGTATTTGGCAGTGGTAGTAGCTGAATAATCATTGAGTTTTACCGTGAATAAAAAACTATTTGTTAAAAGTTCCAAATGCAGGGTTTAGGAGTAGACATGGGCCAAGGTCATGGATAAGGCAAACACTACAGTTCGGTGAACATTGCTAGCTCCTAATTTATCTCAACTCTGCAACCATTTCTTGAGATGCTACTACATATAGAGTACTGAGGGAATAGAAAGATGAATTAAAGACCATTTAAAGACTTCTGGCACTTGCAATTCAAAATCAAGCGAAAATAAATACAGTCTTGTGATTTATTGAGAAATGTCATGCAAGGTAAGTGAACTGATTTTAAGCATGTATTTGGCATTCACACAGATTGACCGATTCAATGAAAACAAAGCACAGCCTTCAGTTATTTTTCCTTTTAAATACATATTTGTGGACTTTATAGAAATGTTAATTAGCTTGACAGTGTTTCCTCATCAATACCTATTTACTTTGTTGAGTGACTGTTCCTTTTTCTTTTCAAATTAGTTTGTGTGGCAGTGTGGAAGAACCACCACATGAGGACAGTAACCAACTACTTCATAGTCAATCTCTCTCTGGCTGATGTGCTCGTGACCATCACCTGCCTTCCAGCCACACTGGTCGTGGATATCACTGAGACCTGGTTTTTTGGACAGTCCCTTTGCAAAGTGATTCCTTATCTACAGGTAATTATTTTTCATGCTTTTTTGAAGCTACTAAATGTTTAGTCATAGCCATGGCCCTTATGGTACATTAACTAGTGAGTTGAGAAATATATTTGCCTAAGGCATTGGCAAACTGAAGGAAAAGAATACTTGGGAATATTTGGGGAAACGAGTTAAATTCCAGATAAAGATAAAGCAACAAATTGCCAAATCATCATTAGATGCTGCACAAACATTTTACTTTTTCGGTTCCTAATTTCCCTATTGTTAAAGAAGAAACTTGAACCAATTAATGATCTCCCCAACCCAATTATTGATCTTTCTTTTGAACCAACTAATGATCTGCCAGTCCAAATCATTGAGGATATTTGTTTTTGCAAGTGATTTTATTTTATACTGAAAAATTAAGACCTACTTGGTCAAATCAGTGCCATGAACAGGCTTCAGTGTAGATTCTAATTCAAACTACCAGAATTGGAATCTCCATTCTGCCATTCACCACTTGTATGCTATCATGCCATATAGTTGTGATTCACTTAAAGAATAATAATTTTAATGAGATCTATCTCATATGGTTGTTGTGACCATTTACTTAGATAATTAATATAAATAACTTGGCATAGTGATCACCCTTTGGAAGATGATGATCTTATAAAAATGGTATGTTCCCAACAAACCTCAATTATTAGCATCAGAATCATCATTAGTAGATGTTTTCCTTTCTTTAAGAGTGAAAATAACTTTTTTCTATTTAATTGCCTTATCAGTAATTAAGTACAAATAATTTCAGAGATTAGTGTTCTGATTATTGTTATAGCTCTAAAGTTTTTGAAACAAAAGATTTATAAGATAATGCTCACATTCATACATCCATCCTAAAGGATGGACTTTCCTTAGAAATTGGACAGCGAGTGAAATGGTGACCACTGTCTACTTGTCTTCCTATAGCCTTCTTGTACCCTCAGTTTTTACTTCATGCAGTCTCTCAGATGGTGATTATAATATTTTAAGGAAACAGAAAATAGGCTTACAGTAACAAAAATTTAGGTGGGGCACAAATAACCTGTTACTAGACATTATACTGATTAGGCTTTTAGAATGAAATGTTGCAAAGGGATATTTAGTTCAATAGTTCCTCGATTACCTCTTATAAAAAGAAGCGATCATTGTTGAAGGTCAAACATCGTTTATAGAATAGCAAGTGGAAAATACTGTAGAAGTTATAAGCTCCATACATATATTATGTTTAATTATAAAGTTAGTTTGGGTCAGCCTGCTAAAAAATCACTACAGGATTATAAAATGAACAGTAGCACTTTTTTTTTTTTTTTTGCATGAGGACAATAATACATGAATAAAAGTTCTTACTATTTTTTTTTTCTATGAGGATAGAAGAAATGAAGGCTCTGGTGGCATTTTGCATAGAGGCACTGGGAAAATAATACATTTCAGAGAATTCTAATATTTCGTTATTTCTGCGGTACTTCCAGAAAACCTTTTACTACTCTTGGTTTCAATAAATACACAGGATAATATCTTGAGGATTCTCTTAAGTTTTGGGGTAGCTGCATTTGCCCAGAATGTTTAATTGCCTGGGAACATTTCATGTTTAATTGACTGTGAACATGAGAGAATCCCTGATGGGAAGTGAACTGATAAGGGAGAGGTGCAGCACCCAGTGGCAGGTGCAGTCACGTGCAAATGCACAGTGATAGCTTTTTGCAGAGCAGGCATCTCAGAGTTTCCTGTGAGTATTTGCACTAGAGGACAGAATGGAAGCAGTGTACCAGTAAGTAATGGAGGGCATGGGTATCTCTTAAAATCACTGACAGTCCTCTTTCACACAGCAGAACTGCTTAACGGTTCCTACATTCCAAGTAATATCATCATCTCTGGAAGGATTCCATCTGCCTCTCTGCACACAGTGTCCAATCTAATCAATTCCTGAGCTCACCCTCTTCTCTGTAGAGCAAGGAAAACAACTACAGAGTAACCACATGATGAAAAAGATTAGGTCCATAGATCTATTCGTTACTCCCTCCAATGTTACTTCTTGACAGAAAGGTGCAAATGCACAAAGAGATTGGTGCATGGATAAAACTAGTATCTCCAAATTCTTGACATTTATTGCCCCATTTTTCGTAGAAGTTTCCCAAATGCAATGAAAAGTTCCAATGGGCGATAAACATACAACTCTGAGCAGTTTTTCTCCCTAGTTGTGACATTCTGAAACTAATGACTTATATTTCTGATATGATATTTATGACTTATTGAATATTTAAAAACATGTTACATAATGCCTAACCACATTTTAAGGTTATTTGGTTGCATTTTAGATTATTTGGGCATTTACTAATTTGCTATAGTGTGTATGTTTTTTTTCTTCTAAATATAATACAGCCTTTAGATTTATGAGCGATATACTGTAACACATTGGCATATGCACAAAAAACTTAAAAATCTCACAAATGTTATAAAGCTTAGCTGAATAATTAAAATGACTCTTTTGTATCTTTAATAATTGTCTAACTCTGAGATCATTAATATATATTAGGCTATTTGCCAAATAATTATCATCTATTTTACTTCTCTTCCAACAATGACAACAGCATTGGTTAGTTTCTCAGAGAAGTTTTTTTTTTTTTTTTTTAACTGCAGAAGAGGCTGTACACAGAAAATGCCATAAAAAAAAGAAGCCAAGTGAGATGTGGGAGGTGAGCAGTGGGTGGTCAGACAAGCTCCCTTTCTCTCAGTCACACTTTGCAACCTTTCTGTCTATTAGTGCTTACCATCCAAATCTGTGATTTGGTAAAATTTCCATTTTTCCTTATAGTGAATCTTTAAGATCCCTTTAACATATCTATTTGCTAGTATAAAAAAGTGAACTTCTCTACAAAAATAATCCCCAAACATTACCCTGTGCAAAAGGTGCCCATAGTATAGGTTACAGGCCAAATACCTGAAGGCAGAAGAAAGTTCCCTCTCACTCCACTTCAACATTCATAACCCACGCTAGATTCATTTCTCGAATGACTTACTATTCCACTGACTTGAGCTATTACCAGAATCCACATGAAGAGACACCCAGAAGTATACTCTTAGAAGTTAAAAGCAGTAACAAAACTTTCAGTTATAATTGCTTATGATAAAATGCAATTTTACATCACCTCCAAGAAAATCTTATAAATTGCACATAATTGTATATTAATTTGTAAAATGCACAAGAAAATATCGTACTTCAAGCAATGAATATTAACTCACTGATTGTCAAGGGTTCATTCAGTGGATTGGTTCATTCTACCATTCAATTAATCACACTAGCATATATTCCCCTCTTTGCTTTGTGACAATGGGCACTGCTCCCTGGGTCACAGTTAGCACTGGATGCCAGTCTTTTAAGTAAACTGATTATTTAAATAATTTATTTAATTATTTAATTATTTAATTATTTTATTAAATTTAGATAATAATCACTTTTAAATAAAGTGATTATTAGATAATATTATTAGATAATATTATTATATATCTAATAATAATATTAGATAATATTATCTAATAATAATCACTTTATTTAAAAGTGATTATTATTATCTAAATAATCTAATGGCATTAGGAAATACTAGAAATGACATTAATCTTAGAAGCATGCTACATCTATCCATTTATCCATGTTGGTTAGATTAATAGATTATAAATCACTAAGCCTTGATGAATACTTTCTAGTTCTAATTGCCAGAGAGGATAAATATCTCTCTGACCCAGAAGCTATGAAGAGGCGACTGTGCAAATCTACACAACCATAGTTCTATTCCCAGGTTAGCAATGGTATTGAGAGGCCCTAGGTGCCTAGCTTATTTGCTAAGAAGGAATGGAGGTTGTATATAATAAGGTGAGATTGGTTTGAGAAAGAGAGTTGAAGGTACTCTAAAGTAGCACTAACAAATTTTCAGGAGTCACCAATCAACCTAAGTCCATTCTCATAGAGTCCAGCCCTTTAAAATTACACTTAAAATGAAATTAGTCACCAAGAATTTAGCAAAGGTTAGGCTTTTACCTGTAATTCCTATGAATATTCTCCTCTGAAAAGCAATCTGTTCCAGTTAAAATATAGAATTTCAGGCTCAAGAATGATAATCATTATCATTGTTATTATAATCATAAATAATAGCAAACAAGCACCACTTATATGCCAGCCCTGGAGTAGACACTTTACATCTCAACTAACTGTCCATACAATTCCATGGTTAGGTACTATTAATCATCCACATTTTACAGATGAGAAAACTGAGGAATAGAGAGGTTAAGTAACCTGCCCAAGAATGCTCAGCAAGTCAGATGAGATTTATGCCCAGAAAACCTGGTTGCAGACTTCATTCCAACTATACTCTGAGGCCTCTCCCATAGAGAAACAAAAGAATCAGAGTTGGTAAGAATCTTATCCTGTTGATTACCTTCATTTAGCAGACACACACACACACACACACAAACATACACATGTAACACATAACACACACACACACACACACACACACACACAAGGCCCAAAGGTGTAAAGTGAGCAACTCAATAGTGTGCAGCTAGCTGATCAAAGAGAGAGAATAGGTTGGTCATCCTGACACTTAGCCCACAGAGTTTCTTCACTGTTGCCCAGGCTCTTAGATCTCTTCTACTCATTTGTACCTTTAATCAACATATCAACAAGAAAGGCCCTCAGGTAAAAGACAGAAATATTTACCCTTTCTACATATTATGAGATCATTATAACCAGGACAGAAAAATAGAGGAATATGAGTGGACCACATCTACTGTCTTCAGCTAAGGCTCACCACTGTATTAATGGATTAACAAATATTTGTTTTAAAGACACATGCAAGTATAAGTTCATTGCAGCACTGTTCACAATAACAAAGACATGGAATCAGCCTAAATGCCCATCAATAATAGACTGGATAAAGATAATGTGGTACATATACACCATGGGATACTATGCAGCCATAAAAAAGAATGAGGTCGTAGCCTTTGCAGCAACATGAATGGAGCCACTGTTATCCTTAGCAAACTAATGGAAGAACAGTAAACCAAAAATCACATGTTCTCATTTGTAAGTGGGAAATGATGAGAACACATGGACACATAGAGAGCAACAACACACACTGGGGCCTTTCAGAGAGTAGAGGATGGAGGAGGGAGAGGAACAGGAAACATAACCAATGGATGCTTGGCTTAATACCTGGGAGATGAAATAATCTGTACAACAAACCTCCATAACAGACATTTACCTATGTCACAAACATGCACATGTACCCCCGAAATTAAAATAGAAGTTGAAAATGAAATATTTCTTAAATGCATAATACACATCAAATGCCATATCAGATACTGGGGACAAATACAAGTACAAAACAAAAGCAGTCCCTTCTACCATACAACTTTGTTCCAATAGAGAAAACACAATAAATAAGCAAATTAGGCAGAATGGTCTACTACCTTATACATGCTGCAAAGAAAATAAATAGCAATCTGTAATAAAATGTAAAGGCAATTAAAAGTCTTTTTATAGAGAGATTCTGAGAGTGATATCAGAATCAATATATCATCCAGTATAAAAGAGCACATTAAACATAATTACATCAAATAATCATGTGTATATAGGCATTTTAAACATGTTTCTTTGTTATTTCCTTAAAGTGCCAAGTTAAAGAATCATTTGTGGCATTGTTAATTATATAAAAATTTCATAAATAATTTTGTAATAATTTTATAAAAATTACTTAAAAGTTTTGACTGGGTGAACCTATCCAGCTTTTGGAGTCACATCGCCTAGGCTAGCAGTGAGCAAACTGTAGTAAGGAGATCCACATACAGAGTTCTCTTTTAACATGACTCATAACTTTCCTAATACACGAATGTACAAATAGCCCTTATTATTGGAAAATATGAAATAAGCTACCCATAATTTAAAAGTTAATTAAATATAATTTCAATCAAATTTCTATATGATAATTTAAAAGAAAGACGTTATTCTTTATAAGTGAGGCTTTTCCAGTTTGGAATAAACGTATGTGTTTTATTTTCTTCTGTGTGAGTGTATGGTTTCTTCCAATCAGTGGAAAAGTTACAGGGCAAAATAATTACAGCCATTATTTAAAGAATGCCATATTATAAACTAAGCCATTTGGAATTTTTAAAAAATTATAAAGTTTTCATCATACCTTTTCATGTTTAACAATAAATATGCATTTAAAAGTATATTTCTAATATTTCATTTTTCTTTTTGACATGATTTCTTTTTAAGTAGAAAGCACTTGTATGGATTTTTTTGGCAACTTTGAATTTGCTTATATATTGTGACCACCTTTCTTGTTTAGTAAATATATTAAGAGTAATTCTTTTAACAGCTGGTGCTTCTCTATTACTATGATGTTTCTCTTCCCTAGACTGTGTCGGTGTCTGTGTCTGTCCTCACACTGAGCTGTATCGCCTTGGATCGGTGGTATGCAATCTGTCACCCTTTGATGTTTAAGAGCACAGCAAAGCGGGCGCGTAACAGCATTGTCATCATCTGGGTTGTATCCTGCATTATAATGATTCCTCAGGCTGTTGTTATGGAGTGCAGCACCATGCTCCCAGCCTTGGCCAATAAAACCACCCTCTTTACAGTGTGTGATGAGCGCTGGGGTGGTAAGTACCATATGGCGCATGAACTGGCATTTATACTATAGCAGCAAATTGAAAATTGGATTAGCATAGCCATTGTAAAGCTAGGCTTATATATCTTATTAGCATTTGTGAATACAGTTTTGCAAGAGCATCAAAACCAACTTGAATTTCAAAACAGTTTCACAGAATAACTCTACCTGTCTGAATCCTTTGGAAATGTTACCTACTGTTTTCTCATTTTCATATCTTTCAGATAGGAAATGAAAGGAGATTATTCTACAATGCAGATTTGGTTATTTTAGTTTTTCTTAAACGCCTCAAAACAAAGAGCAATACGGAATACAAATCCAATTATATTCTGGAATGATCCAAGTTTTATAAGATGGTGCAACCCTGTATTGTCTAAAGTGTCAGGGTCCCTAATGGGCTTCATATGTAACTGGATTTTTTCATTTTAAGACCATGGCCTGGTTCACATGGTCCTGAGAATATGACCAGAGTCATATTCTGGTCATATTCAGTTTCTCTAAGTCAAATTATCCAAATTTGTTTTCTCTATTCATAATACATTCAGTTGGTGAGTTTTGTTACTAGGATAATTATTACCCAATTTAAGAATTACGAGGGCCAGGCGTGGTGGCTCATACCTATAATACCTGCACTTTGGGAGGCTGAGGCAGGTGGATCACAAGGTCAGGATTTCAAGACCAGTCTGGCCAACATGGTGAAAGCCCATCTCTACTAAAAATATAAAAATCAGCTGGGCATGGTGGCACCTGCCTGTAATCCCAGCTACTCTGGAGGCTAAGGCAGGAGAATTGCTTGAATAGGGACCAGGGAGGCAGAGGTTGCAGTGAGCTGAGATCACACTGCCACTGCACTCCAGCTTGGGCTACAGAGCAAGACTCATCTCAAAAAAAGAAAAGAATTATAGTAACTATGAATCAATCTGATTTCTCATCTGATGTGTGTGATGTGAAATTTATACAATCAGGTTTAAAGGTTTTATGTTTCTTTGGTTCAAAATTCTTAGAGCCAGTCTAATGTTTTTGTGAAACCGTGAGAACACTTCTATCAATACCTGATGCTAGCACAAATCTGGGCACAGGAGAGAATGACAGAAAATAAAATAACCCTGCATTTTAGCATAGCATGCACTAATTTCAATATATCACGTGAAATCTGAAAAAAACAATCTGACCTCTTCTGTGTAAGTATACTAAAATGGCTCATATTTAGGGAATTCATACATTAGAAAATAATTTGTTTATTAGAAAGATGTATCAAAACACGCAGTGCACACCGGGGATTAATTATGGGTAATATTCTTAAATATTATAATTTTTGAATTTTTATTACTTCCTACCTTGGTGTTTGTACTAGAACACCGAAAGGAAAAAAGTCAATCATCACTGATGAATTAGGCATACACTACAAGATAGTTCTACAGCAAGATAATATTTAAGAGAGGCTGGGATTATTTTATACACTGTTGTAAGACCTATAATAACTAATATTTTACAGTTTGTTTTATCTATTACCCCAAATATCAAATCTTTCTCTTTTATTAGGATTTACTTTTCCTTTTTAACATTGCATGTTTTTTTTTTTGTTTGTTTGTTTGTTTTGTTTTGTTTTTCCTCTGGATCATGTTCAGTTTTTCCCAATTAATAGTGCCAACAAAAACAAAATAAATGGAAATTTCAAAAATGGTAGGAATATTTATTAAGTGTCCTATGCACTATTTATTAATGCTTAAACAGCACTTTGAGAACTTAGTATATGTCAGGCATTGTGCCCACCTAGAGAGAAACAGACTCTGCTTAAGGGAGTACACTCTATATAGTAAGGCTCAAAGGCCAATAAACAAATTTTTATAGGGTAATCAGAATTTTTACATAGTTATATACAAAGTACTGGGAACAGAAATGAAAGAACAAACTCAACTTTGTCCATTTGAACAAAAGCTTACAGAGGAGCTGCTAACATTTCAGCAAAACATTAAAGATAAGCAGGAATTCTCCAGACTGGAAGAGGGAAAAGGATGTCCAGAAAGCAAGAAAACCCACATCATGGGTACTACATTACGAAGAAGAAAGAAAGTGAGTCAGAACTTGTAGTTTCTGGAACATAGGGGCAGGTAGTCTAAATAATTGAGTTTGGAAAGAAGATGGGTTGAGGACTGACTGTGACATGTCTCTTACACTATTCTTTTACACTGACTTATATTTAAAAAGCCTAAAAAGGTCTTTCTCAGAATCTTGTTTTAAATTCAATAGTAAATTTAGTCCTAGAGAGATTATATTATTTTTTCAAGGTTGTGAAGCAAATATGGACATTTAAATCTGAAGCTTCCAGCTCTTAAGTTGGAATTCTTTAAGTTATAGAGATTGCAATTAGATAAATACACAAATATTTTTCAGTATATGTCAGCAGTATTTTCTCTAAAGTATTCTGGCAATTAGTTTCTGCTTTTATAAACTTTTCTGTTTTAATGTTGTCATGAATAATCAAGTAATGGTAACCTCCATTAACAAAAAGATCTCAATGCCATGGAATCCTGTTCAGTTATTATGATTAAGTAAATAGAAGTATGATTTTTAAATTACCTCTGCGTGATAAATATAAATACATAAAACTCATTTCTACACTTGTATTTTATTACCTAACTCTAGCAAGGAGATTTTCATTAAAAAAGAAAACAATTGTCTGACTATATAAAATTCTAAACCTGGCCTTCAGAAGTTATTTAAGAAAACTATTTGAAGATGATTTTATAATAGCCCATAATTAAATGTGTATAAAGGCTAAAATTAAGTATTGGATTGAATTGATGATCCGCAAAATCCAACTTAATAAAAGCTATACAATTAATTTCTCAAATATTAAATGAAATTGCTAAAAACCTCATGTTTTTAAGAAAAACATAAAATAATTCAAGGAACATTTTTATTTTTTTATTAGACATTTATTATGATGATTTTTACATAGCATGTAAAATGATTGTTCATGTAAACTATTTATAAGTCCATGTTCAAATTATAATGTTAAACCTTGGCATATACATGATTTTCACAACTTAAACACACCATAGGAAAGTATATTTTACAGTGTCAGCTCTGTAAATTCAAACATATTTCAAGGCCAACTGGCATTTAGCCTAATTTAAAAATCTATTGTAAAATATCTTCTATTATTTGAGATTAATTCATGATCTGTGTTTCTTATGTTTATTCTAAGTTAAATCAAAAATGTAGTTATAAAATAGAGAGTAATATCACAAATATCCTACAACCAATACTACAGTGGAAAAAAATTCAGAAAACAATTTGCTCAGTTGATACATATCTATCAAATAACTTTTGGAAAAGTTCTGTAAATGCTATTTTACATATGGTGCAAAATAATTGAGAACTCTATCTAACTAAAAAATTTACCATAAATATGTAATTATGTATGGATAAATGATTTCTAAAACTAATTATATTCATTATTGCCTATTACTTCTTCATAAAAAGAACCATAAGCCATGATTTCTGGCAGACACACACAACACTCAAGAACATATAAAGAATCTTAATACTTATTTTAATAATTTTAAAAGTATACATTTGGATGTTCACTGTTTGCCTCAGTCATATCGTTTCATACTTGTACAATTTTTAAATTGTTCCAGAATTAACCCACAATTTCTTTATTACTTGGTTTGTAAATTCATAGTTCTACAGAAAAGATCCTATAGAAAGAAACTCTTGGCCAGGCGGGATGGCTTATGCCTGTAATCACAGCACTTTGGGAGGACTAGGCAGGCAGATCACCTGAGATAAGGAGTTCAAGACCAGTCTGACTAACATGGTGAAAACTTGTCTCTACTAAAAATACAAAATTAGCCAGGTGCGGTGGTATGTGCCTGTAGTCCCTGCTACTTGGGAAAGGGAGATAGGAGAATTGCTTGAACCCAGGAGACAGAGGTTGCATTGAGCCGAGATCACGTCGCTGCACTCCAGCCTGGGTGACAGAGTGAGATTCTGTCTCAAAAATACATACATACATACATACAAACCAAAAACTCGTTTTATACCTTCAAAGTTATAATTGCTTCACTATTCATTCATCCAGTGTTTAATTAGTATGTGCTATGTACTGTTAGTCAAACATTGTTCTGGTCACTGGAGATTGGTAATATCTCTTTTTTTGAATCTTAATGACAAATTGTTCTTTGGTGGGCTAAAAAAATTGGAGCCCCTTTTTTAGTCATAGTATTTATGGCATCTGGCCTATTTAAGGTTTGAAAGCATATAAATATGTATACATGTGTACTAGTGGGAACATTTATTAAACACATTTATTAGAGAGGAAGTAGTAAAATACATTAAAGGTTCAGGTAAACTTAATGAACCCCTAAACTTTAAAAAGACAGTCCAAATTGAATATTGGGAAATTATATTTAATTTATTTGTTCATTCAATTCCTGACAAGTGTACCATGAAAGAGAAATGTTTGTAGTTTTTAGATAATTAAGGTAACATGCTGTTTGAATAATGGACCCTAACTCATCTGAGAGAAATTAAGTTTTACCTGTCAAATATGTGATACGACTCTTTAATCTCTGATTTCAAAGACTAAAGATCCACATTTGTTCTTTATTAGTTAGTTTCATATATACAAAATATTTATTTAGATTGTGCCTATTCATCAGTTGAGTAAAAACAGTAATTTTTAATAGTTATCAACATTTAATATACTGTTTTTTATATTAAAGTAGTGCTTTTGTGAAACAAATTTTGTGTAGCTTTATTCTAGGTCATATACAAATGTCTTGAACACATTGAAGACATTGCTTATCAAGTGCAGAAAGACTTCAAAGATATTTTCATCATACATAACTTAAAATTTCAATGGCATTTCTGGGTTTTTAATCAGCTTAGACTCTAAATGTGAAATGAGGAATTTAAGACTATCATGTTTCCCCAATTATCTATTATAATCTCCTTATTAAAACAATCTATCATACCCTGGAAGGATAATTTTGCTTGATCAACTTTTTTCCATATCAGTGTTCATTATCATAATATGCATTTAGCAGTTCAATTACATGTTTGTCTAATTATTCATAAATATACCAAACACATAAGGAGCGTTTGCTACCATCTATTCAAAACGCCTGTTATCGCAGTGATGCTGTCCATAGCTGCAGTTGAAAAAAAGTTGACTATCAAATCTAGTTTCCTCTATGCAGACATCAGGGCTTCACATGTACGTAAGTTTCAAAGTTACATAGATTTTTTAATGCGGAAAGCTCACGTGATACTTCTTCAAAACAAATAAAAGTTCAAAGCCTGTTAGTTGCCTGAAAGTGCTGAGGTCACTTTCAGATTCCTTTGAAATTGGCCCACCAAATGCTGTGTAGGCTGTGGCACTTCAAAGGGAAAGACTGTTTGTTATTCCTCCAGTCAGAATGCTTGAATTTTATTGCTTTTTATGTAACTGGCCTGTTTTACAGGATCAACTTGAAAGAAAGTTAGAAACTGATGAGGTAGGTGAATGCTACCTGGGCCAGAGAGATGCTAAAAATGACAATTCAAATTGGTCTCTTAGACCTAGGAGCCAAAAATACAAAAATTAGCCAGTCATGGTGGTGTGCACCTGTAGTCCCAGCTGCTGTCCCTGCTGAATATTGCAGGGCAGAAAGACATTTAAACCAAGAGAATATGGATTTAGAAGGATGAATACTGGTGGATCACGCCTGGGTTCCAAGCACTTTGGGAGCCTGAAGCAGGTAGATCACGAGGTTAGGAGTTCGAGACCAGCTTGACTAACATGGTGAAACCCCGACTCTACGAAAAATACAAAAATTAGATGGGTGTGGTAGGATGCACCTGTAATTCCAGCTACTCAGGTGACTGAGGCAGGAAAATCGCTTAAACCCCAGGAGGCTGAAGTTGCAGTGAGCCGAGATGGCACCATTGCACTCCAGCCTAGGAGACAGAGTCTCATTCTGTCAAAAAAAAAAAAAAAAAAAGGGATGAATATGGAGAACATTAGACTCAAACTCAACTGCATCTGAAAGACAAGGCTGAGGGATATTAAACTCCTAAATATGTTAAAATATATTCAGCAAGAATCAAATGCATGATTGCTCAATAAATATTATCTATAATTATGGCAAACACTTTACTTATTATTATTGATTAATCCTGACTATAAACTGCCCTTATCACAAATTTGATCACATAACCAAGCTTTTATGCTTCTACATCCTCATTCTGAAGTAATGAAAAGAATAAGATGCATAGAGGTACCGGTATTATTCCTCAGTAACAGTATGGGAACAATCCCCTTGCCAATAGAAAAAGTCAACGTGTATAATTTTTAGAAGACAAACAAAACAGACTATTGTGTTAGCATTCACTTAGAATTATAATGAGTTATTACATTTAACATCTATGGAATCTATGCAGGATATATTGTTTCCTCTTTTACTTGCAGTAAAAGTAGATAGACCATTGTGATATATTCCAATACTAGTACAAAAATATCTTCTAAAATCTATAGGAAACTCAGATCAGGAAGAAAAATGCAAACAAGCTCAACAAAAAGTTGGCTAAGAATATGAATAGACAATTCTCAAAGGAAGATATACAGATGGCCAAGAAATAAAATGAAGATGCCCAATATTGCTAATAATCAGGGAAGGGCAAATCAAAACCACAATGCAATACCACCTTCTTCTTTTTTTTTTTTTTTTCTGTTTTGAAACAAAGTCTTGCACTCTTGCCTGGGCTTGAGTGCAGTGGCGCGATCTCAGCTCTCTGCAGCCTTTGCCTCCCAGGTTCAAGGGATTCTCCTGCCTCAGCCTCTCAAAGTGCTGGGATTATAGGTGTGAGCCACCGTGCTCAGCCAATACCACCATAGTCTTACAAGAATGGCCATAATAAAAATAATGATGATAATAGATGTTGGTATGGTTGTGGTGGAAAGGGAACACTTTTACACTGCTGGTGGGAATGTAAGCTGCTACAAAAAATATGGAAAACAGTGTGGAGATTCCTTAAAGAATTAAAAATAGATCTACCATTTGTTCCAGCAATCTCACTACTGGGCATCTACCCAGAGGAAAATAAGTCATTATACTAAAAAGATACTTGCACAAGCATATTTACAGCAGCATAACTCACAAATGCAAAAATATGGAACCCGCCCAAATGCTCATCAATCAATGAGTGAATAAAGAAAATGTGGTATATATATACCATGGAATACTACTCAGCCACGAAAAGGAAAGAAATAATGGCATTCCCAGCAACGTGGATGGATTTGGAATCCATCCATAATTCAGGGATGGAAAACCAAACAACATATGTTCTCACTCATAAGTAGGAGGATACAAAGGCATAAGAATGATAAAATGGATTTCAGGGACTAATGTTATGTTTAGTGTTATAAAACCTTAAAATTCTCATTTTATTAAAAGTACATGCATGTATTTTTAATAAAAGCACATACACTCACAGACATACTATGCTTAAAGAGGAATTTTGTATATGTTCCAATAAGTACACAAAAAGAATCACTGTCAAATTTCTGTTGTATTTAGTTTTCAAATTTTTTTTCACATTTGTATTTGGAGATACAACTGGGAGTAGTCTCCCATTTCTCAGGGAACTTACATTCTAATGAGGAAGAATCAATTGTTTATATTTTCTTCCCATTTTAATGAAATCATTAGTTATTAGGTTTTTATTGAGTCATGTCCATTTTGTATATGAAAGTTTACAACAATCCAAATTAATTTTGTTAATAAGCCAGATGTAATCAAGTCAAATAAAAGGACTTTTAATAACTGAACACTTGACTTTTTATAGCAGAAATTAACAAATAGCTAATTGTTATTTCTCTGAGTACATTAAGTGAAATTAAGACTTCACATTTGGTATACTCAGTGTAGGTGTATATACATTTACTCAGAATATACACATATACTGAGTGAAGGTAAGTTGTTAAATATGAATTTGTTTTCTCCTTTGCATATATACTATGACAATGAAATCATATAAAAGGTAAATATGTACTTTGAAGAAAAGCATTGACATGTATCTTTTTTAAAAGTCCATCACTTGTAATGTAAGGTTTTGTTGTTTTGACTTTCATCCCAGGTGAAATTTATCCCAAGATGTACCATGTCTGTTTTTTTCTGGTGACATACATGGCACCACTGTGTCTTATGGTGTTGGCTTATCTGCAAATATTTCGTAAACTCTGGTGTCGACAGGTATGTAATTTCAAATAATTTGCATATGTTGTTCCTCCACACATAATTTGTTATTTGTTATTCCTTCCAAATAATTCACCTGTGTTTTTTAGGATGTACTTACAAACAAAATTTAAGAATTCATTGAACCAATATTACATGTTCAGAAAAGTATTATATTGTGTGTTCTTCTAAAATAATGATAACCTAAACATAGAAATATGTCTGAGCATTTTTAGATTAATATTTAGGAAATGTATTTTATAATCTGATTGGCACTTTACATTTTAAACAAAATTTAACGCCTGTGATTAATTGACTTTTGTCTAGGAATAACATTAATTTTGCTTTCTATGAGAAATAGCAAATAAAAATTCCTTTAGAGTTGTTTGAGACTATAAGTCTAAGAGGTTATATTTTTAATCAGATTTATTTCATAGATTTGAACATATGGGTTAAATCTCCAACTTGAAAGATCTTATTTTTTTAGAAGATTATAAGACTCAGGCAGAATGCATAATTTTAAAACTGTATACAATGCTGATTTTAGGTTACTATACTTTGTTAGATGATTCTGTCTGCTCTATCAGTGAATGTTTGTATTCGTTCACTTAGTTATTCATTCTTCAAATATGTATCATGAACTTTTGACATACATGTCTCATGAAAAAGCTAAAAATTCTACTTTTTGCCATTGAGTAATTCATACTCTAGAGGAAGGACATAGTCAGATGCAGGGTGAACATTACTTTAAATATAAGCACAGAGAATCAGAGCAAGATGTCCTAAAAGGGTATCTAATTCAGGCAAAGTAACATTTAAGTTAAACCTTGATGATTAGAAGGAAATCACCAACAAACACATTTAGTGTTTTTTAAGCTAGAGACAAAGGATATGGCTCAGTCTCTCGAGTTTTGTAAAATGTATCCTAAAATGCCACAGTTCTTTAGATCTATTTCTCTTCTTCTCTAAACTTACAGCCAATAATTAGTTTAATCAGGCTTGTGGAAAGCTGTCGCATTAGTCTGTTTTCTCTGACACATTTTACTCAACTGAAAAGATTTACTGGAGTCATCTTAATTCATTAAAAATATTTCACAAACACTTTATTTGGTCTTGGAGGATGTGTGTTTGTTTTTTTAATCAACCCTTGTCATTCAAAGCACTTTTGAAGATCATCTTTCACTGACTGGATATGAGCAACACTCGTATTTTTCTATACCATGTGGCTTATAATTTCAAAATTTTCTCTTTCTTCTACTTTTACAAAGAAGTCATTTTTTATGACTTTATCAGTGCAACCAGTAGCAACATTTATTAACATTTTGTTTCCCATCATTTTTTTTACTATAAAAACAATTGTGGACCGCTATAAAACATGAGTGGTGATTTTCTAGATGTTGGTGACAGTTTTCTCAGCGCTCTCCACCTGCCTATGAATCCAGTGCTTATATTTTAGGGTGTTTGTTAATGCAGTTTCCTTCTTTTTAGGACCCATACCTATTATTATATCTGTCAAGTTTAGTTAGATTATTCTTCTATTAAAAAATGTGGTTTACAACAACAGTTCTGTTTCACTCATATTACAGGTCAGTGGGGAGGGGTGGCTGGGGCACTGGGCTCCATGTGTTTTCTCATTCCAGAGCCTAAACTAAAGAAATGGCACCTTCTGGGACATGCCATTCTGAGACTGAGAGAAAAAGAAAACTGGAAGAAAAGTGTATTTTCTCTTAGTGTCTTTTATGAACCAGCAGGTGTTACATCTCACTTTTCATTGGCTAAAACAAGTCACGTGGCTGATCTTGACCATGAATTGGGGAAGCATTCTTCTCTAACAGAAAGACACGACAGGTCACAGGGCAATGGGGAGTTTCCTACAAGCTGGGGATGAATAATCTGGAATGATACGATATAGAGAAGTCAAAAACACAAGGGGCAGACTGAATGAATTTAAATCCTGACTCCACCACTTAGTAGTTACATGAATTTTATAAATGACTTAAATTTCTGTGAGTCCCTTTATTCACTTTAAAATGGGGTTGTATAGCATCTTCCTCATAGGTTTGTTAACATGCATTCAGGTGTGTCCAAGGGAGGGAACACAGTTGTGGGTGCTTAGTTTCTGTTTCTTGTTGGGCTAGAAAAGCCCTTTCCTCATCCCTCTTTTTGCTTATTGCCAGAGACAGAAACTAAAAACCATGGCTTCAGGCTAATAAAAGCCTGAAACAAAACAAAATAGAAGTACAACAACAAAATAAGGTGGATTGGACAAGCTTGCTTAGATGAATTCACTCAAGTGCCGAAAATATAGAAAGTGCTCATTAAACAAAATATTTTAATAGATGTTGTTTAATAATGGCCTTTAAACTAATTGTACTTACGTTTCTAAAATAACATGTGTGTGTTGAATTGGTGTATGTGATTTTTTTAATGCATTTTGAAATACCAGTATAGCGCTTCTTATTTGTCTGTCTTCTCTACTCTACTAATATAAAGATAGTCTCACTGTCTTCTTTGTATCCCTAGAAATAGCACCTGCTCAGCACACATCAGTAGCATTTTTCATAAGAAAAAAGTGAGTAGAATAAGAGAAAGTGCTGGGAAAGTTTCAACAAAAGAGGACATAGAAAATCTATTGACCAGTTACTCAGATAAAAGTTTGTAGAAATAGATTAAAATTAGAAGAATTTCTTGAAGGGGAAAAAGCATTTAATGAACATGTAAGAGAAAAGATATTTTAGATTTGGATGGAGATTTTGTTGGGGAATTTTCAGCGTTAAGATTATCCCCTATTTCTTTATTTTTACTAGTTAGTGTGCATTGTATAAAATAGATGATTATAATTTCTTATTCATTTATTTACATATTGAGATACCTTTACAACTTTAAAGATTGTAATATGTCTGTCTTGTTACCATCATATCCATAAACTTTACATGGTACCATCAGAGAAAGTATTTTTAAAAGTTTGTTAAATGAATAGGTGATGCCAAGATCCAAAGAAATTAATTTTCCACCATTTAAACTTAAGTTTGAAATTTCCCAAACTCTAAAATAAATTTTAAAAATAAATTGCATTACAGATTTAGAAATAATCCACATTCTTTTCATGAATTATCCTGATTAGTACAAGCCACCTGATTCGGAAGATTTGCAGTAAAATGCTTGGGCTGTGAAACTAAAATCATTTACAAAACAGATTGAAATGGAAAATGCTAAGTTCAGCTGCCCTCACTTTAGCAGCCACAATAAAGTGAATTGATCCCAAATTGGTAGTTATGTAGAATTCCGCTTGAGCAACTCTCAATTTCCAACTGTTAGTACCATATCTATAAACAAAGTTGTAAGGCGTTATGTGTGCCATAAGCTACATCAAATGAGCCATCAAATGAAGAGCTTGTCCTATTTGCTTAAAATTACAGAGATTGTACTTTTGAATTAGTAAGTGTAAGATTATTAGTGAGCAAATTGTGTGCCGTTGTCTGACTTTCTCAAGAAGTTTAAGCCTCATTAAAAGAATTGGCTAGGCTGGGCGTGGTGGCTCACACCTATAATCCCAGCACTTTGGGAGGCCGAGGCGGGTGGATCACGAGGTCAAGAGATGGAGACCATCCTGGTCAACAAGGTGAAACCTCGTCTCTACTAAAAATACAAAAATTAGCTGGGCATGGTGGCATGTGCCTGTAGGCCCTGCTACTTGGGAGGCTCAGGCAGAAGAATTGCTTGAACCCAGGAGGTGGAGGCTGCGGTGAGCCGAGATCGCGCCATTGCACTCCAGCCTGGGTAACAAGAGCGAAACTCCGTCTCAAAAAAAAAAAAAAAAAAAAAAATTGGCTAATGCTTTGTTGTAATCAACTACTTAAATCCTTCCCTCTCTTTGTTAAATTGTTTTTTTGTTTGTTTTTACAATTTGACCCAGAGTACTCTTGACTGTAGAATTTCAGTCAAGAAATTCTACAGACTATTTTTTAAAGCTCATTTTTTAAAAGAACTAATTCTTAGCTTGCTTGGCCCTTTCATTTTTCTGTCAATTTTTTTTTCTAGTTCAGATCCTTCATATAATTCAACACTAAATCTTAATCATCATGTGAACTTGTGTTAATTTATTTCACAATTATTTATTAAGCACATACTCTGTTTCCAGTATGGTGTGAGGTACTGAGGATGGACTGTAATAGATACTTTGGTCTGAAGCTATAGTTCAGCTTTTCAAGGCCTTTGAAAGACCTTTCTCTTTCCAGTTTTTATCACAAAGTTTTCTGCTGCTTTTTATTCAGCACTCTTCTAAGAGAACTTAAGATCAATAATGTTTGATGATGACAAATCAGTCTAGTGTGAGAAAATAGCAAACAAATTACAATTGCAGGGGCAGAATCAGGAAGGTGGTAGCTCGAGTCCATGCAAAAGTATTAAGGAGCACCAGTAAAGGCAACTACATAGGTAATACAGTAGACAGTATAAACATTTTTATCTTCTGCTATCTGTTGTAAAGAACAACTGCATAAAATAATAGTTATAAAAACGTGAAGATTCAGATTACAGTGTATACAGATGTAATTCAAAAAGGAGGAGGAAATGGAGCTATATTGGAGCAAATTAGCTTTATACTATTAAAATTATATTGGCATAATCTAAGCACATTGTTTAGATTAAGTTGCTAATTTTAATCCCCAGTGTTACCACTAAGAAGATAATTTTTTTGAAAAATGTAGAAATATAGGTAAAGAAACAAAAGAATTAAAATGGTATACAGAAAATACTTAACATCAAATAAAGCAGTAGTGAAGAAATAGAGAAACACAAGAGATACAATATATATGTCACACATAGTAAAATGGCAGATATAAATTATATTTTCTTAACAATTAAAGTAAATGTAAATGGATTAGATACTTCAAAGGGCATAGATTGGCATAATAGATAAAAACCAACCAATAATAAAAAATCCCATGATCCAACTTTACACTGATTAGAGACATACCTTGTATTCAGATATACAAATAGGTTAAATGTAAAATAAC